ACCACACTCCCCCCCACCATTGCAAATATGGCGCGGAAGGAGAGTGGAGGGAGGAGGACACACACTACACCCAGGGCTCCCAAGGTTGAGAAACACTGGGATAGAAAGATAGGGATGGAGCTTGAAACAATCAAAAGCTATCCTAAAAGGAATGAGCTTTGTTGATGATTATGGGATATTCCATGTATGAGCTTATTTTCAGGGAACAGGGATAACTGGTTGGTTGGCACACTTAATAGGAGCATTTAACTCTGCAATTTTTCGCCCCAGGCCCCATTTTGTAGGTGTAAGCTGAAATGAGTGTTCCAATGCTCTATCAGCAAAGGAACAAACACTTGATCTTTATAGCCAAAAGTTAGAAGATCACGTTGTATTTTATTAATTAGAAGATCACATTGTATTTTATTAATATTTAACTTTAAGCACAGTACTGCTTAGGTTCTGTTGTTCTTCCATATTGCACTTGTGCATCTCTCTCTCTCTCTCTGAATCCTTAGATCCTTTTTCAACAATTCTTGGCTAACAGCTTGTTTTAAATATACCACCATGAACATGCAACTTTTTTTTTTTTCTATCATAGCATGCTATTAACTCTTGCATGGAAAGGTAAAAGGAGGAATGGCACCTTCGGGCAGATTTAAAGTCTACTGTATATACATTTTAAAAATAAAAATAAAATATTGTTTCTGTAGTTTCCAAAGGTACAACATGCAAAAATGAATACTGTAGTATGGGTACTACATACTGTACCCAGATTCAGAGTAAATCGATACCCTAGTTGTATGGGAGTACAGTAATACCTCGGTTCACGAACGCTTCTGTTCGCGAACAATTTGGTTCGCGAACAGCAGCATTCGGAAAGTTTTGCTTCCGTTCGCGAACTCTGCATCGGGCGACGAACACGACCCGCGGCCATCTTCCCTGCTCTGACACATGGTCGTGGCTTCCTCTAGGCGAGATTGTGGTCGCAGACAGACACTTGCTATGAAGCTTTCTGGTGTGCTTTTTAGCACATACAGTACCTCCAGCATGGCTCCAAAGAAAGTGCAGAGCGATAATGAAGGTGACAAGAACGTGCAGAGCAAGAATGGTAAGAAGAAGGTTTTGAAGAAAATA